TGCCTGATCGAGTAAACATAATGTCTACTTAGACTCTGACACCTATTAGAATCACACCAACATGGTCTAGGCATCACACTCTCATATCTTGTGAATCACTCACAAAGAAAAGTTCAAAGGCATTTTTATTCATTCACGGATTGCCTCCCAAGATTATATTCTCTCCCTTCTATAACATTCTGTGAATGCAGTAACCCTTGGATTACCCCATAATTGAGGTAATCAAAATTTGACTCTAGGATCCCCCATAATTGAGGTAATCAATCATCCTTGCCACGCCTTTTACACACTTTAAAAGGCGCCACTGTTTTCTACTTGCTGCCACTGTTCTCTACCAACAGCTTTGATAGCTTGTTGGAGCATCAAACAAATAAAAATTGGGAACTCCAGTGAGATTTGAGTGCGTACCAAAGTTCATATTCTAGTAACTAGCACGTGTACACACACACACACACACACATATAGATATTGTAATTGCAGGAGAAAGAAAAAGAAAGCACCACCATGCTTCACCATCACCACCTCCCACCGCCACCGCCACCACTCCAACCAACCACCACCACTACCGTCCATATATATAAGTGCTTATATATATATATTATAGCTGCAGAAGAAAGTGAAAGAAGACCAATTTTAAATCACCTCCAAACAGAGCTTTGTCATCTACATCTGTAAACCCATCTATTGATTCACAAAATTAGGGTTTTGAATCAGAGAAATGAAAATAGTTTCGGAATTACAGACTTCAAATTAGGGTTCGAGTAGAGATGTTTAGAGAGAGAAAGTTGGAAAGAGAAGAAGTTTGAAGCCATATTTTCCAGCAAGATATTTTTATTCATTCATTGACCTCGTAATCAGAATTACATAGTATCCTTTTTATAATAACTGATGACCCTTGGATTACCCTACAATTGTAGTGATCAAAATTCGACTCTAGCATAATAAAGTAAAAAATAACTTAATTGATGCAATTTACCAAAACAATGCAATTTCACCATAATTGATGCAATTTTCCAAAATTATGCAATTTGACCAAACCCTCTAATTATGCAAGACTCCAAGTGGACTGGCATTATCTTGCATGTGCCAAATTAAGGTTTGAGACTTAGAACCCTCCTTGCCATGCCTTTCAAATACTTAAAAGGTTGCTGCCATTGTTCTCTACCACTTCGTCTCCATATTGTCGAAAGGAGGGGTAGAGAGAGAGTATAGAGAGGATGTGGATGGAAATTTTAAAATAGATAAGGCCAATTTGGACCGAAAAAGTATTTTTTCTTTTTTGGTAATTATTTTTGATTATTAGCTCTTTCAGTCACATACTATTTTAATACGGTCGCATTTGCAATATAGTAAAAATAACTTGTCATTTATTAAATAAACCCTAAATAAAAATAAAAACATCTGTTATCCTTTTTAAAATGTGCACTTGACGGGATTTATTCTTTTTGTTTGACCATTCATTTTGTGTTAAACATGGTAAGCTGATTACTCAAATATTGCTACGTTGTTTCTCTTGTAAGGTAATTATGAGCATGGTTTCCTTATGTATGGGTTTATGTAGACAGTTCTTGTGCCACAAGGCTTTAGAACAGGAGTAAGTTTCCATGATGAAGAGATTTAAATGTTGGAAGGGTGTATTTGATTCTTGATTATATCAAAGGCAAGTTTTGGTTGCACACTTAACCCTTAGGCTACGTTTGGTGTGCAGGAATGGAATGGAATGGAATGCCCATTTCAACCATTCCTTTGTTTGGTATGCAACTTAAAGTGGGAATGGCCATTCCATTGGAATGATAATCCATTCCTGGGAATGAAAATCCATTCCACAACTAAACCTATGGAATGACCATTCCATTCCCAAGTAATTTATTTTAAAAAATTGACTTCCCAAAACACCCTCATATTCCAAGTCCAAAAACCACCATTACTTTCCACCACAATCATCTCCGCCTTTCACCACCACCACTACCACTGCTTTCTACCACCACTGACTTTTACCATCGCCCACCACTTTCGACCACCACCACCGCCACCGCCTTTCACCACCTCTACCGCCACCGTTTGCCGCAACCACCACCGCCACCATTGCCTTTCACCACAGCCACCACCTTTCACCACTGCCACCACCTTTTACCACCACCATTGCTACTGCCTTTCACTACCACCACCACCGCCACCGCCACCGTCACCGCCACAACCCTACACCACCACCGCCACCTTCCACCTTTCACCACCACCGCTACTGCCGCCGCCGCCTTTCACCACCACCATCGCCACCGCCATCGCCTTTCACCACCACCATCGCCTTCTACCACCTTCCATCATCACCACTACCACCACCTTCCACCACCGCCACTTCCACTTCGTTCCGCCACTTCCACCACCACCGCCACACCACTATCTCCTTCCACCGCAACCACCACACTACTGCCACTGCCTTCCACCAATACCACTGCCACCTTCCACCACCACTGCTGCCACCAATTTCCACCATTGTCACCGCCGCCTTCCAACACCACCACCTACACTTCTACTGCTTTCCACTATCTACCACCGCCACTGCCACCATTTATTTTTAAAAAATTATTAAAGAATATCATTTTGTTAATTTTATTTAATTTAATATATTTGTTACTGAGAGGGATATTTTGGAGAATTCAATTAAAAATTTATTCCATTCTAAATTTTAATTTGGTCCAACCAAACACTAGAATGGTTATTATCATTCCATTCCTACGCATTTCATATTTACAACCAAACAATAGAATGACCATTCCATTCCCATTCTCATTCCATTTCCACTTGCATTCCATTCCATTCCATTACTGCACACCAAACGTAGCATTATAATATAGTGTATTGAGAGTTTTTGGTTTGTTGTATTTACCAGCCCTGACAAAAATTATTAAGTTGATTGATTTGTTGAGAGGAACCTAAATTTATATTATCTAATTATCAAGGGAAATGTCTTACATTCAGTTTATGTTTTTTTGTAATGCAAAATAAGAAACAGGGAAAGTGGCAATGTTCTATATGTCTTTGCATATTTATATATGGTTGTTAAGGGGTAAGAAGATGAAATAAAAACACGAATAAAGTTTAGGAATTATTGAAAGAAATGAAGCTGGAAACCTGTGATACCCTTTCTCCCATGAATCTTTATTAGGCTATGTTTTTCCATTGATATCTTTCATTCAAAGAAATGTAATTTTAGTAGCAAATTCCCAAATATTGCTGCTATGATGTTGTGGCCCGACTTTTGTTACGGCTAAGTGTGCTTTGTAAAATTTTTTGACCTGTATTTTTTTGCTTCTTGTCGTGTACATTCTCGTAGCCCCGTATATAAGGGCATTTAAGGTTTTGAGTTGGATGGATTGAGACACTGGAAACAGCATGAAAAAGAGTGAGGGTGAGAGATAGGATTTGGGGGTTGAAACTCGTAATCTCCTGATTTTTGCATATTGAAATCTTCTATTAGATCTTCACCGTGGGTGGCTTGTTTAATTTTTTTTTCGCGATTTGTTCTTGGTTCGCTCAGTGTTATTAAAGGCCCAAGGCGCACCAAGGTGCTAGAGGTCCTTTGGAGCCTAGGCGCGAGGCTCACGGCGAGGCGCGCGCCTGAGTGAAGTGAGACGCACAATTGAAAATTTAAACTACTATAAAACCATTCATATCTCACAAGTCATATCAATATTCTAAAAATTCATATCAAATATAAAAAGTAAATCCATCAACTATACAAGCATCTAAAAATTATAAAACAGAGCACAAGTTTGTTTTCTTGAAAGGCAAAGCAAATTTTTTTTTTTTTTTTTTGAATGGCAAAATAGAGCACAAAAAGAAATAAATCTGTTAATAAAAAAGAAAAAACACAGACAAAAAAACAAAAGATAGAGTGAGAAGAGAACTAGACGAAGAGAGAGATTAAACAAAAATAAGAAGAGAGGAGAGAGAAGTAGAGGAGAAGAGAGAGAAGAAGAAGAAAGAATTGACGTGGCTTCGTCATTCATATCTGCAACTAGCGCTTCGTCATTCGTCTCATAGTCTCACTCTCTTTGTTCGGTTAACACTTTAACTCTTGGGCTTTCTTATTTGTTTATTCTTTTGAACAAAAGTTCCTTCTCTCGTATGCTTGTGCTTTCTTATTTGTTTATTAAGTTGCCAAAGTATCCTTTTTGGCTTAAGAAATAGAATAATCATATATGTTTTTTTAAAAAACACCAGTGAGGCGCGTCTGACAAACAGGATGAGGTACAACCAAGGCGTGCACCTAGTAAACATCCGTGAGCCTGGAATGACAACAGGTTCTAAACCTGAGCCTCGAGCCTAGGTGCACCTTAACAACACTGGGTTCACTGCATTTGTCGTAGCAATTGGTGTTTATCTCGTGGTGTGTTCTTTTTCTGTATCGTACGTATTCCTTTTGGAACTCTAATAAGCATGACGTTTATATTTGGGTCATAAGGATCTGTATGAATTGAGCAATACATATGTAAATTATGCCTGTTCTACGGTTGTGAACCATTAAGTAACAAAATCTCGTAGATGCACTTCCCTTTTTCTACATTTTGTTTCCTTAGTATGTAAGGTGTAGTGCCATTATATGTTGAGGCACAAAGCCATCTGTCATTTATTATTTTATTTTATTTGACTCAATGTCATTTGTTTTGCAGGGGGAGTAAAGTTGCTTCCAAGATTGATTTCTGGACAAGTATGGTTTGATGTATAGTTGCATTCATCTAAAGGCTGCAGCTATGATTCTATTTGACTTATATATATATATGTCTGTTGTAATTATAAATAACAAAATAATAATATAATGGAGCCTTTTGTACATAGTACATTGATTGAATGTCCATGGCTTGTATAGTTGTAGGTACATTTTACTTCATAGCTCTAGTGTTGGATTTTTCAGCACAGAACTCAAAGTGGAAAGGGTTTTATTTCAGGAGGTCCCAAGGTTCCGTCTGAGGATCTCATTTCACCATGTCCAGTACCAATGCCGGTGTCTGCTCCTGAGGTCAGTCAACCTGCTAGAAAAAGAGTCGGCTGCTCAGACTCAGTTTCTAGAATTGCCCAAATCATGCTGTTTTCCATTTTTCAAAATATTTCTTCCGTAGTTGCATTTTACTACTTTTACAAAGAATTATGTCCTAATTTTTTAGGGTGTTATGCAATTACATTACACCATCTTAGCTAAAGACTTTTTATAAAAATTAAATATAAATAAAAGGAAAATACATAATCTGTGGTGTGTTTTCGTACTTACAAGTGGTACATATTTTGTGCAGGTTGAATCGGTGTATGGTTTCCTGCAGCGTCTGGGTCTTGACAAATATTTAATGATATTCGAAAATGAGGAAGTGCGTGAATTTTATAGCCTTCCTTTGTTTACTGCAATTTTATGTACTGGCTTTGGTTTTACCATTACCTTAAGAATTCCTTCATTGTTTTGAGGCCTTATGCTCTTTCTGCAGATTGATATGGCCGCTCTGGTACACATAACTAATGATGATCTCAAGGCTTTAGGATTACCAGAGGTAAACACAACTAGGTTAACCCTGCTATATGTTCCATTTTTGTTTGGTTACAAGTACTATATGTTGTGTTACCTTTATAAACTTTATGTCTTGGCTGATTGAAGGCTTGCGGATATCAGAATTTAGGGTAAAATACACTTGAGAGGTTTTTCGAAATTTTCTTCAGAAGAAACTTGTTGAAAGATTGTGGTCAACCTCTGTTGAGGTTTTACAAAATCATCCTAACCACCCGACGTCAATCAACTAGGTCATTCAAAGGGGTAAATTTTAAGTTCCAAAAATACCCTTATATGAAGTAAAATGACGTAAATGGCCCAACTAAGTTTATGAAATGAACATTTTAACTACATTACACACCCAGAGGCGCGCGCGCGCGCACACACACACACACACATATATATATATGTATATACATATTTCTATTTAGTACTACAACCATTGCTCACCCTATCATCGCCTCTCTCTCTCTCTCTGCACCACCATTCTAGTCTCTCTCTCTCTGCACCACCATTCTAGTTACCCTTTACGTGGGAATGAAACGCGGAAAGTAGGGATGAGGGTTGCCAGGACCACCACCAGTGCCGCCATCACGATTGAAGCAAAAAGGAGGAGAGCTTCACCACCTTTTAGAATGTTAGCTGATACCATCTTTGACGATCACTCACTACAATTTACCCCTTTTCTAGCAGTAGTGGCAAGATAATGATGCCTCTAATAGTGGATTGGATTGTTGAAATTGGAATGCGAGGATTTTGCCATTGCCATTCACAATATATATATATATATATATATATATATATATATATATATATATATATTTTGTGTTTACAATAATGTGTGGGTATATATTTATATAGCTTGGTAACGAAGACAAAGGGGAAAACAAAGAAGAGATATCGGTAGCAGTGGGAGGTACTGGTTGTGGTGGCGGGCACTAGTGGAGGATATATATATACATATATATACATATTTATATTTCCTTATATATGAATGTATGTAGTATTATGTTTATATGTATATTAAAGTATACGGTAAATTACCCTCAAACCCTTTGAGGGACTCACTTTTCACCCTCAGATTAAGGTTGGGTCAAAATTGTGGTCAATCTCCCTAGAGGTTTGGAAAAGTCATAACTTGGTCCGTTCCGCTAGTGGGTCGTTAGCTCCGTTGGATCATATTTTTATGTAATGCCAAAATTACCCTTCAATGGAATGTATTACATATTTACCGTTACTTAATATGTGTGGTGACAAATATAACCTTGCTTGCATAATCGAAACTCCATCAACCATTTTGAATATAAAGTTGCATCTAGTTTAGTGATTGAAAACTCCCCTAACGACCCGTGAGAAGACATATAAAAGAGGATTCAAGAGAATTATATATGTATATATATTGTTGTATGTGTTAAAGGGATTCAAGAGTGGATGGGGAAGAAGAAGCCTGCGAAAGAAAGGCTTCGGAGCATGTGTGGTATTCATCCAGAAGTGTAAAGTTGCTAAACGGATCATCCCTATCTTTCTAAGTTCCGTTTTTTTTTTTTTTTTTTTGTAAAAAAAAAAAAAAAATTTGGGATCATTTGCAAAAGATAACAAACACCAAGGTTGAATCATTCGAAATTTAGGCCCATCAATCTATTTCTCTCTGTATATATACGCATGTATTTATGAATTTTGTTTTCTTTTTGAATAATTAGAAGAACTGAAATTAGGATTTTCTTGAAGGGCTCGTACTCATTTTTTGGATGGACCAGGTTCAACACATTTGGGCCACTACAAACCTTATGTAATGATACAGTCCTGAAATCGGGTTGGGTCGCACGGATGGGGCAAGAAGAGCTGGATCACTTTCTTAGGGCTTTGTAAGGGGGGGGGGGGGTAATTCGTGTTCGTGGGTTGTGTTCATGTCGTGTCGATGTAAGAGTATTATACTAAATAGGTAAACCTAAACCCAACTCATTTAATAATCCTGTCAAGAATCTCAACATTAACCAACCCATTTATTAAACAGGTAATCGTGTTAACCCATTTAATGACCTGTTTATTAAAACGAGACATTTAATATTTAATCAAATACTAAATAATAGAAAAAATTGTCATAATTAACCAAAATATTCAAAATAAAAAGAAAAATCATAAGGCATAGATAAGGTTCATATTGAAATGACTTAACTATCCATAGTAATTGGGTTTAAACAGGTAACATATTACATAAGTTATATTCATGATTATAACATGTTAAGTTAAATGGGTCATAAACGGGTTACACGGGTTGAACCCCTCAACCCTAACCCGACACGGTTAAATAAACGGGTTAATCTTGTCGACCCTTTGATGACCCAAACCCGTTTATGCTAAACCCAAACCCTTTTAACTCGTGTCGTGTTAGTGTCGGGTTGTTGTGTCGTGTCATAATTTGCCACTCCTAGGGCTCTATTTTTGCTAACTCATACCAGTCTGTGTTTGTGGATGAGAATTGAGCTAAAGCCCATTCTCGATTCAAGCTAGGGGTGGCAATTCGTGTTAGCGTGTCGTGTTCGTATCGACACGATTATGACACGGACACGATTAGGGTTGACACGAACACGACACGATTATTAATCGTGCCTAAGACCCTTGACACGAATACGACACAATTATTATACGCGTAACACGACACTACACGCATAACCTGTTTAATAAATGGGTCAAGACTTGACATAACATGAAAAGACACATTTAAGTCATTTTTGACACGAATACGATATATTTATTTTACACGTTTTGCTAAATGGGTCATTTTTGACACGAACACGACACGTTTAGTTAATCGTGTCATAATCGTGTTTATAGGGTCAAACACGAACACGACACGTTTAGTTAGCGGGTCAATCCGTGTCGACACGATTATGACACGAACACGATTAGCCCAAACCCAAACCCGCTTATCTCGTGTCGTGTTAGCGTGTCATGTCAAATATTGCCATCCCTAATTCAAGCTTTGTCATCGTTGCAAGTGGTTGCGAGTAGAGAATTCGAAGTGGCGTGCTATTAATGATGCTCCATCACGTGACGACGCGGGTAAGCTTCTCGACCTCGCATGCAGTGCTTCATATTCTTCCAGTGGGGATTGGGTCACTCGTCTGAGATCTAGAACTGAAGGGATAAGGGATTTGCTCCTTGTTTGCCAATCCATGTTATCTAGGTCTAGTGGAAAGTATGTTTTGGGTTTTTCGAAGGCATATTATGGTTGTATTGGTGGTGTCCCAGAGAAGATGATTGTTTGTGTTGGGAGATACATTCTGATTCACTCATAGTGACGATTCAACAACTATGTTGGTAAGTAAGTTAAAAAATGTAGGGAGTTGAATGATGATATGCTATGCAAAGCTCCAGATTCTCAGGATGACCAGTTGGTGGGAGTTGGGGACAATAACATTGACTGGTTGGCGTTTGATGGGTCGGAGCAAGGGTTAGGATGTGGTGAGGGTAGTGTGGTGAGGGAGCAGAGTAAGGATGGCAAAGTTTGGCATGACCCGCCAACACGACTTGAACACAACATGAGATAAAAAAAAGTTTGGGTTGACCTTAAACGGGTTTGGGTTGTAAATTGTTTGACATGATTAACCCGATTAATTATTCATGTCGTGTTAGGGTTGAGGGGTTCAATCTGTGTAACTCGTTTATACCTATTTAATTATGGACAATTAGATCATTTCAACATATACCTTAAAAATATACTTTAACTCCTTAGCTGTCATTATGAATTGTGTCCTGTAATAACTATCTAAACTTGTGTCTTTAATTTACTATCTTATGAACTAGAGATTATTTAGTTATTTGATTGCATTGAGACTTAAATGTTTTTGATTGAGGATTATAAATAATATAATATCTGGTTTTGACAAGTAGGTCATTAAATAGGTTAACACGTGTAGCCCGTTTAATAAACAGATCGGCATAGTGTTGAGTGTCCCTAACACGATTATTAAACGGGTCGTGTTCGGTTTAACCTGTCAACAAACACGAATTGCCAACCCTAGATTTGAGCGATTGAACTCTCAATGTTATGCCATTGGAGGGGAAGGAATTTTCAGATTTAGGTGTGGTTGACCTAAATTGGCTGTGGTGCAATTGGAAAAGATGGGGGTGGGCACTATTGAGCAGGGAGTTGGTGATCTAGGTAAGGAGAACATTGGTGTGACAAGCCATCCTTTGGGAATTTCTTTTAAAGGCAATATAGAGCAGGCTTTGTGGATTCTTCAAGCGATGGTTGGGGTAGGGATGTGAAGTTGAAGAAGCCTAATGGGGTACGCTAGCCAACACGTGTCGAAGCCATCCATGCTTGTCTTCTCTGTACTCTTTTATTAAGGGCAAGCTCTGCCCGAAACGAAAATGGTAGCTGTTTTCTTAGGTACTTTGATATTGGTCTCCTAATTCTCTTGGTTTAGCTCGACTCATTCCATTCAAGGGAGAACACAACTAAGGAATTTAAAGTGGGTGGGGTGGGATAAGGTGGGGGTTGAAGAAAGAAAAATTCTTCTTCTTGGAAGGGGGAGAGGGAGGTGAGAAACCTCATTTCTTATGTTAATTATGAGGGGAAGGATGTGATGGTGAGGGAGAGGGGAAGTGAGGGGGGGCAGAGGGAGAAAATGGGGGAGGGGAATTTCATTGTTTCCTTACGAAGTTTCGAATTATATCATGGAACATCCGTGGTCTCAATGATCCGGATAAGAGGAAGGTGGTGAAGTTGATAGTGAGGAAGTGTGGGTAAGTGTGGGTATCACGTGGTTTGTTTGCAAGAGACGAAGTTTGCTTCCATTTCGGATAGGGCGGTTTGGAGTCTTAGGATGGGGGGAGAAAATGGGGGACGCGAATGCCATTATTTCCTTACGAAGTTTCGAATTATATCTTGGAACATCCATGTCTCAATGATCTGGATAAGAGGAAGGTGGTGAAGTTGATGGTGAGGAAGTGTGGGTATCATGTGGTTTGTTTGCAAGAGACGAAGTTTGCTTCCATTTCGGATAGGGTGGTTTGGAGTCTTAGGGTGGGGGGGTTCATTGAGTGTGAGGCATTTATGCGATGGGGACTTCCTGGGGCGTTCTCATCATTTGGACAAGAGATGGGTATCGGGGCTGGACGTTTGGTTGGAGAGGGAGCTTTTCTATTTCTTATGCCTTTGTTGTGGAGGAGGATGGCTTTAGATGGGCTTTCTTAGGAGTGTATGGCCTGGTGGATGATGGGGAGAGAAATTTGCTTTAGGAGGAGCTCGGTTTATTGAGGGGGTTGTGGTCCCTTCCGTGGTGGGTGGGTGGAGATTTCAACGTCGTTAGATCCCCAACGGAGAGATTTACAGGAGGGAGATATTCTTTAGCTTTGGAGTAGTTTTTGGAGTTTGTTGACTGTCATTATCTTACTGATTTGCAGACAGATGGGGGGTTGCGACTTTTACTTAGTTTAATGCCAGGGAGTCTTCTATACTCTCCATTGGGTATTTTCTTGGTTTATGGGGACTGGGAGGAGAGGTACCCGGATGTGGTGCTGGAGGCTTTGGCTAGATTGTCCACCAGTCATATTATGTTGGTTTTGGATTGTGGCGGTTTTAGATCTCGGAACACTCCTTTTAGATTTTTTGAGAATATGTGGCTTAGAGCAGAGGATTTCCAAGGGAGAGTCCGGCTTGGTGGGAGAAGGCTTTGGTGGTTGGCACACAGAGTTTTGCTTTGGTGGGGAAGCTTCGGTACTTGAAGGTTGAGATTAAAAGGTGGAATATGGAGGTGTTTGGCAATCCGGAGTGGAGGATGGACATGGCCCTTTATGAGATTGTATATATCAGTCTTTTGCAAGGGATGGTCGTTATTGAGAAAGCTTAGAGGCGTCAGAGAGCGCATTGTCAAGATTGCTCATATTGCTGCTATTTTGGAGGAGATTTTGTGACCGTAATCTCTGGCCTTATGACTCAATGAGGGTGATCGTAACACGAGGTTCTTCCACAAGCTTGCCGACGCCCAAAAGAGGGGCAATCACATCTGGTGGATACGTGTAGATGGGGTGGAGTTGTGTAGGGGAGGAGGTATGCAAGGGGGTTGCCTTTTATTACCCCAACTTGGCGGTCTACATTTTGATTCAATTTCAGCGACGGATAAGGATGGGCTTGAGGTTCCTTTTTTGTTTGTTTGTTTGTTTTTTTTTTTTTTTTTTTTTGAAGAGGAAGTGTCGAAGAGTCTAAAGAGTTGTTACGGTGATAAAATCTCGGGTTCGGATGGTAACCATGGTATCACTATGAGGTTCCTTTTGGAGAGCTGGGGTGGGGTTAGGGGATAAGTGATGGGCACCTTCCATGATTTCCATTCTCGTAGGTGGCTTGGGATGTCTTTTAATGGTTATTTTATCCCTAAGAAGGCTGGAACTTCTGATGTTAAGGACTTCAGACCTATTAGTTTGGTGGGGTGTATGTATAGGCTAATAGCTAAGGTCTTTGCTTTGAGATCGAGGGATGTTTTGAACGGAGTTATTTCTAAACGCTTTTATCCATGGTTGCCATATTCTAGTTTATTTATTTTCGAACTCCCAGCTTCTTTCTTTATATCTATCTTCGAGTAAACAACTAATTGTTAGTTCATTAAAGGGTTAAATGGTCAATATATGAATTAAGTGTCATTGAGAGAGATGCACTGTTCATGTCTCCTTTAGCAAGTATACTTTAAGGGAATCAATATAGGAGCAATGTAAAGATTAGCAGCGAGTGTTGCAATGTAAATCCCAAGGGGAAAAATTTAATTCAGACAATTCGGAAAGTCAAATATATTTTACCCTAAAAGCTATATGCATAAGTCACCATGTTAGACCTGTTTTGTTGGCCGCTAATGGATTTTTCTCTTCTGTTCTGTATAGAGACTCTAAGGTGGTGAAGGTGGAAGCACTGGTTTATTTATTTTCGAACTCCCAGCTTCTCGCTTTATATACTTATAGTTCGTAATTAGAGAATTGAATGGTCAATATGAATTATAAATTCTTCTTCTTCTTCTTCTTCTTCTTCTTCTTTTTGTTTTTTTGTTTTTTTTTGTTTTTTTTTTTTTTTTTTTTTTTTTTTTTTGTGTGTGTGTTAATATCAGTAAGAGATCTGACTCCCGCCCTCCAATATTTTAGTCTGATGCTCATTTTATTTTCATTTCGACTGTGTCAGCTTGCAAGAAAAAATATATTTTCGGCATTGGAGACTGAGGTTCAACATGTGGGAGCTTAATTAGGGGTTCCTTTGCTTGTTTGTGTGGAGTTCATTGTTTTGGAGTAACAATATTTCAGCAGGCCTGTGTTTTAACTCGTGCTACTTTGCTTCAACTTTTTTGGGATTAAATTATCTGTAATATTGCTGCAAGTTGTTTCAGTGAGCCTATCATTTGTGAGGTCATTAGAAGACTGATAGCATCAAGTTGTTTTTGTGAGTCATTCGAGAGATGGGTTCAACTTTTGTTGGGTCTGCCCCTCCCTTTCCATTGTCTTTTTCAAGTATTTGTAGTTTAAACTGCCACTTTGAGACGAGGGAGAAGGAATGAAATGTTCAAAGGTAATAATAGGCTATGAAGTACGGATACGAATACGGGACACGGGTACGACACGACACGGATACGGCGATACGACAAATTTCAAAAAAATAGGACACGGACACGGCGGGGATACGCCTATAAAATTATATATATATATATATATATATAATTATATATTCAAAATATAATTACTAGAATCTTGTACAGATAAATAAAATAACAACAAATAACAGAATTAATTTCAATAATTTCATCTCTGTTATAAGAAAAATATAGACAAGACAAAACAGAAAATAAAAAAAAAATAAAGTTGATCCAAATTCCAAACGAAGATGTGCAGAAGAGACATAACTATAATGAACTAAATATGTATATGAATAAACATGTATACTTTCAGTCTTTCACAAAGTTTTGTTCATGTAACTTATATATATATATATATATATATATATATATATATATATATATATATATATCTTGTTCATGAAGAGAAATAATTGAAGAATATGAGAGACTGAGAGGAGTGAGAAAATAAATTTTGTCTTGCAAAAGTGTCGAACCGTGTGTCCGAACCTCGGACACGCGTATCCAATAAAAAATAATATTTGGACACTTTATAAAAATGTCGGACATGTGTCCGAGTCTCGAACACGGGTGTCGGTGTCCAAAAAGTATCTGACACGGGTACGGAACCCCTGAGAGGAGTGTCCGTGCTTCATAGGTAATAGGTTATTCTATTCAGTGCCTTAATTAATGCCAAGGACATTCATTTGACATTTACGTGGAACATTTTTCAAGAGAGAATTTGACTTTGGAGAGAGAAAAAAAAACACATAGGGGTTTGGTAATGTTTCCAATTTATTTCCAAACTTGTATGCCATGTAACATTTTGGATAAACTGCAATGACCTCTTCTAAGGTTTGGACTATATGCAACTAAATATGAGGTTTGCTATTTTTTTGCAACGGCCCCCTGTCAGATTTTGTGATGAATTTACTTATCTACCCTCGTTACTATAATTGTTAAAAATAATCAAAATATCTAAAAATATCAAAGGACTATTTTGTCCCTTAAACTTGCAACCCAATTCTTGCACTTCGTCAACCAGCCCCTTCCCGCTACCACCACCACCCACTACCCACCGCCACCATCATCACCCCCACAACCACCGTCGACACCAAATCAAACTGAAGAATTTCACTGAAAACACAACATCGTACAAACTAAACAATCACTGTTTTAATAGAATCCAAAAATCATTTGAATTAACCTAACAAAATTCAAACACTGTTTTAATAGAATCCAAACACCACCTCTCCGACGCTGCTCTTTCTCTCTCTCCTCCACTACTCCGGCGACTTTAATGGTTACCTCAACTACTTCTCTCTCCATTTCTCTGTTGCTGTAACTAAGGTCTCGACCCATCTCAATTTGTCCATAGTATGGGTGTTGTGACTCTCTCAACCCTCGAAAATGGAGCTCCAGACGTGTTCGAATCAGTGGCCGTCGTCTGTGGCAGCCAATTGAGGACTGGGTTTGGTGCGATTGTCTGCCGGCACCCATTTTCCCTTCACAAAATAAAATCCAAACTTGTTTTTCTCGTTGATTTGTGAAATTTTTTCTAGGGTTTGGCCAAGGGGTGTGTGTTTGGTTCAATCAGAAACCCAAACACCAGCTAAGACACCATACTCTGACTTCACCAGAAAAGCAGTCGTCGTTCACTCACCGCCGGGTCCTTATACAGAATCGATTCCACCTCCACGCTGCTCAAATTCTGGCCGCCACTGATGATTACATCCTTCGATCGCTTTTCCATTCAGTGTAGGCCGATGTATGAATTTCCTTCTATCGGTCTTTGATTGGTTGTTGTGGTTGATACCGAAGATAGCCATGGATGGCGATCACGAATCTTTCAGGTTTGACTTGGGGTTCCTCTAGGTTCAATTGGGTTTGTCATGGGTGCAATTGGGTTTGTTGTGGGTCCGATTGGTTGGTGATAATGGTGGTAGAAGTGGTGGTGGTGGTGATATATATATATATATATAATTTTATATAAGACCAGCCATTGTGGGTTTGTTTGGCAGTGATGGTGGCTGCCGGTGGAGTGGTGGTGGCCTCTTTTTTAAATGTATTAATTTAGTATTATGAAAATCCCTAATTAAGGGGTAGTTTGGTCCACACATGGTTTTTTTTGGTTATTTCATAACATTATAAGGGTAATATGGTCTTTTAAACTTAGTTGATGGGTGCTTTAGTCACTTCAACCAAATTTTATGACAAAAATGATTGAATTTTGTACATAAGGGAGGTCTTTGCAAAAAATAGTAAACTTCAAGGGGATATATTGCAAAAAAATAGCAAACCTCATGTTCAATTGTAATTAGTCCAAACCTTAGGGGAGGTCATTCTAGTTTGCCCTAACATTTTTTAAGAGTAATAATTTGAAGTGGTCGTTTGGTAATGTTTCCAATTTATTTCGAAACTTGTACGCTTCTTGTTCACTTTGTTGCGAGTTTGTGTCTCTCTCCCTTTTTTTCTCTCATTTTGATCATAGGAATTGAGCTATCAAACTTATTTCTTGTTTCTTGTCTACAAAATTCGAGGAATAAATGAACATTACCAAATGTTGATTTTGGTTTTAGCAATATTTGTGTTTTTCGGATCAACGGATTATAAAATGGGATTTGATTAAAATCCCATTTTTTACCCATTTGAAATTTGTTTTTGCCAGATTACTCATTTAACCATATGTTTGTATCTCTATCAGCATAAACTCTTTTGTACAAACTATATAAGTCCTCATTTAACCTATCCTTTCTTTGGGATATTTTCAGTGAATTTTTCACTAAAGATGGCCGCTGATTTTTTCCATAATAAAATAAAAAATTTTATTTGGTTTTCTCTAATATCTCAAACCTTTGTGTTTGCAAATTGGTTAACCATTTCTTACCTTTTCTTGCTTTCAAATGAATAATTTGTTCATTCATGTGGACATATTGAGAAGCAAAATTGTTTGTTAAAGACAATAAGAATAGGGCAAAATTTTATAATCAAACGCCATGAAATCCATACAGATTGAATAACTGAAGATTATAATTTTTTAATCTTATAATTTCATTCCTAAACAATCATTCAAATGTACCAATTACACTTTTAATTAAGCATTTATGGTAAATTTCACATTTTTGTAACATTTATATAATGACTATATAGATTTAAATTTTTTTGTTTATCTACCATTACCTTTTAATACAAGAAAATTGTTGATTGGTGTTGCTCATTAAAAAGATAATAATAATAAATAAATAAAAAGAGAGATGGATTCAAATATATTTTGCTTATTATGATTTTTTACCTGATACAAATTTTTTGCTTGCATGTCATGGGTCGAGACCATGGACCATGTAATTGTTTCTTTTTTGATACCCCAATCAGAATCTGTAATAATTTTATGGAGAATAGTGCTAAAAGAAAATTGCTAATTGGTGATGCTCATTAAAAATAAAAAATAAAAAATAAATAAAAGGGTTATTATTATAAAACATTCCTTTACATTCCAAAATAGTCACATAACCCCCAACAAAATCAAGTAATAAGTACAGCTGAAATGTACACTGGTGCTATAAGAAAATTCCTACAACTGACAAAAGTGAAACTACGTTTTATGGATTAACTCAGAGAGAGATATTAATTGAAGAGGACTTGACTGAGACAGTACAATAACGCAGCAAGATCATTCAATCTATTTAGACCTAGAGGAGGAGGTGTTATTAAGTACTAAACGCAGCAAGATCATTCAATCTATTTAGACCTAGAGGAGGGGTTGAATAGGTCTTATGAATATCTATGGATAACTTTAAAATAAATAAACTAAATTCTTTTAAACTCTTCTTTTAAAAGTGCTCTTATATGATCTTAATTTACTTATCAAGAATACTTGTGAAATCAATGACTAATCATGCATACCCAATTCACAAATACAATGGATGCGAATAAAAATAGAAATAAAGTAAAGTAAAAAAAGAATAAGAGACGACTGATAAGTCTTATATACGAGGAAAAACCCCTAAACTCGGGATCAAAAAACCTCGGGAGCCTTTGCAAGGCTAAGAAGAACCTACTATAATGAAAGTGATTACAACCAGTCTAGTTCAATACTACGACACTGACTAGCCTCCAGACTTAGCAAGATACCAAACCTTCAATGTTCGTTCATGTTGCAGTTGACTACTACACCTATTTCATCCAATCCCTTACTAAAGCACTCTAGAAGATCTTCAGGTATCCTTCAGCCCATCCATTTAACCGCTACATGATCCCATTGATCCACATCAATCCCACCATGCTAAACTTCCTCACTTAGAATCTTTTTCAACCTGTTCCAAGTTACTCAGTTATTTTTACCGCAACTCACGTGCTTGTTTCAACCCAAACTGTCTACTGCACAAATTAATTCCTTAGATGAAAAAATATTCCCATACTCATTCTTCCTTCCAAGATTAAGAATATAATCCCATACTTATGCTCTCCCTTTTAAAGAAGAAATAAAAATTGAGTTTCGAATCAAAACTGAGTTTCGACCCGAATTATTTACTACAACCGCTTGTTTGTTTCAATCCCAACCTTTCGCTTCTCGCCTATGGATATCGGTAGTTGTAGAGTCCGGCTTCTTTAGTTGAAATTCAATCACTCAACGCATATGTCTATATGGTTTTTAGATTGAAAAATAAACAAAACTTATATACCCAAGAGTGAAAAGATATGATTAATGGTGGCAAAATGGTTCAGAAACTATCAACCCACTTATATCCGCCTGCTTTTTTAATGGTTTTGGGTGAAACATATTTAAGATGGGTCAAAAATGGATTGGGTAATTTTTAACCACTTAATTTGAGGGTCAAGATGGGTTGAATATGGTTACCCACATTCAACCCATATTTCACCCCGCACATAATAGACACACACAACACACATCTATTATATATTACACTCAACTTGTTTCTCTCTCTAAAACTATCAACCCACTTATATCCGCCCGCTTTTTAATGGTTTTGGGTGAACCATAATTAAGATGGGTCAAAAATGGGTTGGGTAATTTTTAACCACTTAATTTGAGGATCAAGATGGGTTGAATATGGTTACCTACATTCAACCCATATTTCACCCTGCACATAATAAACACACAACACACATTTATTATATATTACACTTAATTTGTTTCTCTCTCTAAAATTCACTCACACACGATTAGGGCTGCAAGTTTGGCTGCCCAACCCAGCCCAGTCCCAACCCAACCTCAACCTGAAATCGGGTTGGGTTAGGCCAGCCCGAATATTTTGGGCTGGTTTCACAGGTCATTTTTTTTTTTTTTTTTTTTTTTTTTTTTTTTTTTTAATATGCAAATTATATTTTCCTTTTCCATGTTTGCAAACATCAAAATTTTTAAGAATTTTTTTATTTTTGAAATATCAATATTTTGGGCTGGTCGGTCAGAGTTTCACGGGTCATTTTTTTTTTTTTTTTCAAATATGCAATTTACATTTTCCTTTTCTATGTCTGTAAACATTAAAATTTTTATATTTAAAACATCAATATTATAGGTGGGTCGGTCGGGTTTCACAGGTCTTTTTTATTTTATTTTAACAAATATACAAATTACATTTTCCTTTTTCAAGTTTGTAAACATCAAAATTTTATTTTTTAAACATCAATATTTTGGGTGGGTCGGTCGGGTTTCACGGGTCTTTTTTTTTTTTTTTT